CTGCCACGGCCATACAGTTTGTAAGCAATATAAGTCTCTGTGTTTACTTGGTTGGGTCTGAGCAGCTGTGGGACTGGTGGGTGACAAAGATTTGTCCTGACTGTGGGCAAGGCAGGAAAACTCTAGCTACAGTCCACTGCACCTGGGGTTGTAAGGCCACCTGATGTGGGTGCTAGGAACTGAACTCTGGGCTTCTGCAGGAGCAGCAAGCTCTCTTAACCACTAAGCCATCTGTTCAACTCCAGATCCTACGTTTTTGTAAGTCATGTAGCTGCCCTAGGAACAGAGAACATAGGCCCACAAAGCCTCACATGTTTTGCTGAGGATATCTGTGTTAGTGTTCTGTCACTGACAAATGCCTGAGATGAACACTTTATATAGAAGAAAGGCTTATTTTCGCTGTTGGTTTTCAGTGGTTTCGGTCCATGGTCACTTGGCTTCATTGCTTCTGGCCTTGGATGGGGCAGAAGATCATAGTGGAAAGCATGAATAGCTCAGCTGCCCAGCTCCTGGCAGCCAGGAGGGGGAGAGGTTGAGAACAAAGAAGCAGGCACAGGATATCTAACCCCAGTGACCTGCTTCCTCCATCTAGGTCCTACCCCCTAGGACAGCCCCATCTCCTTCTCATGGTTCATTCAGCTGTGAACCTATCAATGGATGAACCACTGATGAAGTCAGAGCCCCCATGGTCCATTTTGTTCTGAAGATAGGAACTTTGGGGGAACATTTAATACCAAACCATAAGGGACTGTGGAGATGGCTCAGTTGGGAAAGTGACTTCATCAGTCCAGAGGCAGAAGCAAACGGATCTCTTAAGTTCAGTGGTAGCCTGGTATACATAGGGAGTTGCCAGCCAGGGATACACAGTGAGACTGTCTCAAAAACAAAAAAACAAGGTTGAGAGTGATTGAGGAAGATGCCCACCCAATATTGATGGCCTACACATACATGTGCACACATACACATGCTGGAATACAGGGAATAAGGAAGTTTACAGCTGGTATTAGGTAGCCAACCAGAAAGAGAGGGGCAGCTGTAGAAAAACAAGCCTGTCTTGTAAGTTCCAGCTGGCTCCATAGAGGCCGCACCCCTGCCTTGCAGCACACACAAGGTACCTTTGCTTTTTCTGCTAATAAGCTCAGCAACTGCAAGTAGTTACACCTTCAGCATATCCGTGCATCTGATGGTTAGAGACTGAATTGTGGGTATGTGCAGCTTCTAAGAAACTCTCTTCCTGTTCCTGAAAGACATTCGACTGCCCCAGTGGTGGGCCAGGGGAGGAGAAATGCTGGACCCAGAGCTGTCAGTCAGATTCTAGGTGCCTTCTGTTGCTGGTGCCTGGCTTGATCCACCCTCCATTCAGAGGAGATTATTTTGCTTCTGCTTTTTAAAAATTTAAATTTATTTATGTGTATGTGTGCCACAGTGCACGTGTTGAACTCAGAGGACAACTCAGGGGAGTCAATTCTCTCCTAATGTGTGTCCTTGGGATCAAACTGGAATCCTCAGATGGGGCAGTAAGCACCTTAACCCTGCATTTGCTTTTTAACCTGAATAATAAACTGAAAACCTGGCTTGCTCTACCCATGCTTGGCTGAGTTCTTCAGGGAGGCTAGAACTTGGACTGTTGCCACAGTTGAGGTCTGAGAGAATGTGGGAGGAGTCATGTCCCCATCTACAACAGTCACCACAGCACCTCCTAAAAGGGAGGCGAAAGAGCAGGGATCAGAAAGACTGGCAGAAGCTCTGCTGCCAGCCCTGAAGAAGTGGACTGAGCTTTGGACCAAGGGCACAGAAGCCAGAGAAGGCAGACACCAATACTGTCCAGAGCCTGCAGAAGGGATTAGCCCTGCCGGCACCTTGATTTTAGCCTGTTGTATGACACTGTTTCTGGGGGTCAGACATTAACAAATTTCTACTTACCCTAAATAGGGAACTAACAACAGACCAGAAGGAAGACACCACCAAAGTCCAACTTGGTAAACCGATAAGTTTTATTGTGGTTACTTACAGGAGCAGGAATGGCTCAGTCAGCTGGATCATCAAAAAGCCCACCTCCACATGGGTGACAACTCAAGAAAACCCTGAAAACCTGGAGCAGACCTCACAACCTGCAGGCAGTTCAGCAGACTGGAGACTGCCCCTCTTCTAGGCAGCAAGGTAGGTATCTGCTTCTTCCAGGCAGCTTGAGTTGGGCTGAGTGTCTCAGCAGTCCATAAAGCATGTGCTTGGGGAAGAGAGGGTTTAGTAAATCTGGTCAGTCTGAAGGGCTTTCTGAAACCTCTGAGTTGTTTTCTTCCTGAGCTTAAGGATCTTACCTGTAGGATGGAATAATTCACCTCCCCATAGCATGTCCAATGTCTTGTTTCCCTCCAAAATGGAAAGTTAATCTGAGAGGAAGCTGCTATAAATAGGCTGGTAATACATAATTTGAGATTTCTGATGTTTTGTTTATTATTGTTGTAAGAAAATAAAGATCTATTGAACTTATTGTTTAGTTGTAATTTATTAATTGAAAATTATATGAAATTTAAATTTCAGTCTCTATAAACTAATAAAAAATGATTATCTGAAAAAATTTTGTCAAGCCAGGAATGGTGGTGCAAGCGCATAATCCTGGCTCTTGGGAGGTAGAAGTGGGAGGATCAGGAACTTAAGAGTTGGACTAGGAGGATGGTTCTGTTGGTAAATAGTTTGTCACAAAAACACGAGGACCTGAGCTCAGATCCTCCTCCAGCACCTATGTAAAAAAGATACTGTACTACATGGAGAGGCTGAGTCAGGGAGCAATCTGGAACTCACTGGCCCACTAGGGTAGCCTCTTTGGTAAGCTCCAGGTTTAGTGAGAGACGTGCGTCAAAAAAGATGAAGATCAACTAAGGCATCCGACACACGCTGCACACAGAAGTAACTGGAGGGGGTGGTTTTGGAGAGGTGGCTGAGCAGTTAAGTGCGAGTAGTGCTCAATCATCACAGTTCAGATCCCAGCACCCAGGTGTCTGATGCTCTCTTCTGGCCTCCAAGGGCACCTACACACATGTACATACACGCACAAAAACGTACACATAAATGGAAAAAAAATTTAAAAAGGGCTGTTTACTTGTTGTTTGGAGACAGGGTCTCCGTATCCCAGACTGTATCAAAGTCTCTGTCATATGGGTGACTTTGAATGCTGATCCTGCTCCCTTCTCGGAGCTGAGACCACAGACAAGTATTACCATGCCCAACCCCAGTAAGGAAACCAGAGTTGTGAAGGCTAATCTTGCCTGTCAGTGGCAGGCAACACACCTGGGAGACAGCCTCAACTGAAGAATTACGTCTATCAGATTAGCCTTTGGGCATGTCTGTGTGGTATTTTCTTGATTCATAATTAATGTAGGAGAGCCCAGCCTACTGTGGTGAGTACCATTCATGCAGGTGAGCTTGTGCTGTGTAAGAGAGCAGAATATGAGCCTGAGAATAAGCCTTAAGCAGCAACTGGGATTTTGAGGTTGTCTCTTGGGATCTGCCTTGTGAAGAAAGGCTGGCCCAAACCCAGAGAGGAGAGTGACTTACTGGCTTGCCAAAAAAACCCAACGTTCTATCCCTAGTTTTTATTGTCAGTTTGACACAAGCTAGAGTCCCCTTGGAAGGAGGGAGTCTCAGCAAAAGAATGGCTTGTGGCCATGGCTGTGAGATATTTTCTTAACTGATGATTGCAGAATCAGTGGTCCTCCATGGTTTCTGCTTCAGTTTCTGCCTTGGCTTCCATCTGGAAGTGTACAGAAAATAAATCCTTTCTTCTCCCAATTGGTTTTTTTTTTTTTAAGATTTATTTATTTATTTATTATGTATACAGAAGAGGGTGCCATATCTCATTACAGATGGCTGTGAGCCACCATGTGGGTGCTGGGAATTGAACTCAGGACCTCTGGAAGAGCAATCAGTGCTCTTAACCTCTGAGCCATCTCTCCAGTCCCCTCCCAATTGTTTTTAGTTGAAGTGTTTTATCAAAATGACCTAGAGAAAGTAAAACGTGTCAAGCAGAAAATTCTGCCTAAAGAGGAGGGAGGGTGGGAGCAGGGGCTGTGCAACCAGACGTGGGTGTCAGGATGGGGGGGGGTGGCTAAGCAAGAGGACTTAGCAGATAAAGGTGCCAGGCAGCCCAAGTGTGATCCCTGGAGCCCGCGTAAAGTGGGAGTAAAGGAATCTTTCTATGATTTCATGTGTGTCAACAAACACACATATAATTTTTAAAAATGAGAGGAGGCAGGGTCTGTGTTGATCTCCATGGCTTCAGTTACCACTGAAGGCTGTGCCCTGGGTCTGGGCTGCCACCTGAGGCCATGTTGGTGCCTGAGGGTCATGCCAATCTGAGTGGCCTGGGCTGCCCCCTGGGGCCATAGTGACATGTGGGCCCAGGCTGCTGCCAAGGACCATGTATGGGTCTGTGGTCTTACCAAAGCCAGGGTCTCCGTGGCCTGTGTTGCCACCAAGGGGCCACGTGGATGCCCAGGGTCTGGGCTGCCACCCATGGCCACATTGGTGTCTGAGGTTGTGCTGCTGGGGCCATACTGATCTGGGTGGCCTGTGTTGCCACCTGGGGCCATGGTGACTTTTGGGCCTGAGCTACTGCCAAGGCCCGTGTCTGGGTCCATGGCCCTACGGCAGCCAGGGTCTGAGTTGGTGTCTATGGCTCCTGTTACTACCAAGGGCCATGCTGATAGTGGGGTCTGGTCAACCACCTGAGACCATGTTGGTGTCTTAGGGCCATGCTGCCACCAATGCCATACTGATCAAGGTGGCCTGTGCTGCCACCAGGGCCATGGTAACTTCTGGGCCTGAGCTGTTGCCAAGGGCATGTCTGGGTCCGTGGTCCTGCTGCAGCTGGGGTCTGTGTTGATTTCCATGGCCCATGTTACCACAGGGGGCCATAGGAACCATGCATGTTGAAAACTGAGGGCTGTGCTGAGCCAGCGCCACCCTTCAGTGGCCCTGGGAGAGCTGGTCCTGCCCCTTGCTGGCTACTGCAGCACAAGAACTGGATCCACTCCTCATGGAAGAGCTGGCTCCACACTTAAGAGATGGCCCTGCCCCCCACCACAGGTGGGAGAGAGGCCTGATGGCATGGGCATCATGGGAGAGGTCCCAGGGGCCCAGATTGACCAAATCAGCTACCACCCAGGCCCACATTCAAGGCTTTGAGTTGGCCCTTTCAACATCTACCCCATCTGTGACCTGCTGAAGTAAGTGAAGGGACCCGTCCTGTGGAACCATAGCTGTGGGGTCTCCATGACTCCAGACAGCAGCAGGGTATCTGAGAGGAGTTTTGGTCAGGGTCCAGTATTGATGGTGTACCAGGGGCCAGAGGCCTTGAACCATAATAATTGCAATAAACATTTGCAAGTAAAGCAGAGAGGGTATACTGCATGGCGCACTGCAGCTCCCAGTGCCACTAAGATGAATGCAGAGGTGTTGGAGAGGTGGGAAAGACAGGAGCAAAGTGGTGTTTTTGTTTGTTTTGTTTTTAATTAATATTTTTTAAAATTTTCTTTTGTGGGGGACATTATGATGATGAGTGAGGGGCATATGTGGAGGGACTGGGAAATGAGTGGGATTTGGGTGCATGATGTGAAATTCCCAAAGAATCAATAAAAAATCATGTTAAAAAAACAAAAACAAGCATTCTAAAGCTATATGACTTAAAACACAGTTGTAATTAGTGGTCTGTATCCACCAATTCCACATTTGTACATTAAAAAGAAGTATGTATCTCTTAAAAAAAAAATGAGGGAGGCAAAGGGGTGATGGTGTGTGTAGAGGTCAATTCTGTGTCTCTTGGTGACTGACCAGTCTATAGGGAGAAGGCAGCAACCAGATACAGAGATGCCATTCTGTCTGAACTACTTGTGGACCTCCATATGTGAGCAGGCTAATTGGAATCTTCAAGAAGGCAGGTGGTGGGGCGGGGTGTGGGGGGGTGGGTGGCTCATCCAGTAAAGTGGCTGTGTGAGGACCTGAGTTTAGAACTGGGCGCAACTTCTATAATCCTGCACTTCCACACTGACAGGGCAGGCAGACAACAAACTCCCAAAGCTCTTGGGCCTAATGTAGGGTTTTGCATGAGAAGTGTCCCCCCAATGGGCTCATGTATTTGAACACTCAGTCCCCAGTTGGTGGTGCTGTTTGGGGAGGTTCTGGAACTTTGGAGAAGCAGAGCCGTCAACTCCCAATTTCTGCTTTTGCGACTGTGCCTTCCCATCTTCATGGACACCTCGCCCTCTCAAACTATAAGCCAAAGTCAACTTTATACTTTGCTTTTGGTCATCATATTGTATCACAGCCACAGAAAAGTAACTCATACTTGCTATATGCAGTAATGAACAAGGGACCCTGTCTCAAGGTGGGAAGGGAGAACCAACATCCAAGGTTGTCATCTGACTTCCACACTTAAACATGCATGCACACCGAGATTTCTAAAAGTGTGGTTGTGAATTGCTGCTGAGATGGCTCATCAGAGAAAAGTGCTTGCTGCCAAGCCTAACCACCTGAGCTCTGTCCCTTGAACACACTTGGTGGAAGGAGAGAACTGGCTTGGGCAAACTGTCCTCATATCTCCTTGTATGAACACCCAATAAATAAATGTAATCGGAAAATATTATTTCAGCTTGAAGGTAAACCTAGGTCACTGCGCCACCTTGGAGAACTTAATTCTACAGTAGTCCCTCTGGACCCAACCCCTAATACCCATCCCAATGTTTCTTCATCAAGCACAGTCATGGACATTTTATCTCTTTGGGGTCAAGATTGTCAAAGCCCTTGCCAGGCAGTGGTGGCACACGCCTTTAATCCCAGCACTCGAGAGGCAGAGCCAGCAGGATCTCTGGGAGTTTGAGGCCAGCCTGGTCTACAGAGCAAGATCCAGGACAGGCACCAAAACTACACAGAGAAACTCTGTCTTGAAAAACAAAACAAAACATAACAAAACAAAAGATTGGCAAAGCCTCACAACTTTTGTTTCCTGGGTCACAAAGTGACCTGTGTTGCCCTGAACCTTAAGGACAGTGACCCCATTTATTCTTGGCTACTCCTGAGTAGACCATAAATCAATAAACCACACTTTCACCCTCCCCACATCTGGGGACTCATTCTGTAGAAGGGTCCACCCCCACTTTCTCAGA